TCGTGCGAGTCCAACATTTTGTAGAATTTCTTTGCGGATTCCTCCATCTCCTCCTTCTCACGTCGTTCAGTGAAGTGAGCTTGGTGGGCGTCATCTAGCATGTCTGCTACCCCGGCATCATCATCAAAAGCCTCGAGGCATGCTCTCACCACCTCCGCTCTTATACGATCTGCTTCACCATGGTAGATCCATCTTTGGTAGCTGGGCATATAACCATTGAACACAAGATGTCTACCCATGGTCTTCTCGTCTACTTTTCTCCTATTGTCACATTTCTTTGCGGGGACACCAAACTAGAGAATGTCCTCCCGCTCCCTGGGCCAAATGCATGTTTCAAGAAACCATCTGTCCCCTTCACCCATTCATAGTCGTAGTCACTCCCGCTTCTCCGGCCGTGTACATCCAGCGACGGTCCTCCATCCTTTAACATTTACAAAGATAGAGTATCGTGACCATCAATTGCATCTACGCGGTGTTCCTCTTGTCTAATAGGTGAGGATAGGTCCTAATCCCACCAGCGGATGCGTAGATGAGGTCGATTTCCATGCTCGCTCCTCTCGAGAGAGAATTTGGCAAAGCGACACCTCCCATTGTTCTCCCGATACACGCCCCGCAAGGGAGAGTGTATCCAGGAGAACAACAGGAGGTGTTGTTTAAACTCCTTCCCGGACCGGGCGGACCATGGAAACTAACCCATCAACGCATCCATGGGCTGTCCAAAAACGTGGACAATCAAAACAGACACGGTCGCAGAATCACGCAAAGATCCGCATACCCACGATCGTATCTCTTTCGGACGGGAGACGCTTAACTTCGGGGTTACGACGGGCTACTGACGGACATGCGCAAAAAGAGGTTATTTATACCTAGGGTGTCGGTGAAGTAAGGCTAGCGGGCGATGGCGAATCGACGCAGATGGCGAGGCGACGCAGATGGTGGTGAGAACCATGACGTCGATGAAGACGATCGGGGTCCTCCGGGTCCCCTCCGACGTACTCTTCTCCGCATAAAAAGACAATAGGTTATTTTTGTTCAAAATTTGGTGCAGCACCTCCCCCGCACGGGAGATTTCCAAAAACGCAAAAAAAAGCGACACGATGGCCGACATTCAACAGCGCACGAAGGCCGACAACCCTGGCAACGCACGAAGGCCCTCATATCAACTTACGGCACAAAGGCCCACACAACCAAAACGGCACGAAGGCCGACAACCACAACGGCACGAAGGCCCTCATAACAACTTACGGCACGAAGGCCCACACAACCACATACGGCACGAAGGCCGACAACGAGAGTTTTACCTAGGGTTGCGGTGGAGTCGGGCGTCGCGGTCTGGAGGTCACTTTCTTCTCCGGCGAGGAGGTCGAGCAGCGTCGAGTACTCCTCTCCCCTCTTCCCTTTCTTCTCTCCTTTTCCCTTCTTCTCCTTCTCTTCCCCTTCCTCCTTCTCCTCTTCTTCTCCTTTTCTTCCCTTCCTCCTTCTCCTCTTCTCCTTCTCTTCTTCCTCCAACTTCACCCTCTGCCTCCCTCCCACAGCCAAATGGTGTGAGAGGCGGGCTGGGGGCTGGGGTCGGGCGGGAAGGCCGGTGAGGGGGAGCCACGGAGGGCCGGCCGGGCGGTCGACCTCCCTTGCTCGACGGAGACGGGAACGGAGGGCGGTGCGACCTCGGCCGCCACCGGGCGTGGGGCGGCGGGGCGTGAGTGGCGGTGGTGGTGGGCGCCGAGGGCGGCTGGCAGGGCCGAGGCGGGTGTGGTGTGTGGCAGGTGGTGTGGTGTGCATGGTGTGTGTGTGTGGTGGTGGAGGCGCGGGGTGACCCACGTGTGTGCTGTGTGGTGGGCGCGGCAGGCTGGGGCTCAGGCTGTGTGTGTGCATGGCATGGGTGCTGCTGGGGGCAGTGATCTTTGGGCTGGCTGAGGCAGCCAGGTCTTGGAGGCGGGCGGGCACAGGGCCGAGGCTTGGCATGCATGTGTGTGTGTGCATGTGTGGTGGTCTTGTGGTGGTGCTTTGGGCATGTGGGGCGTCTCGGCGCTGGCGTGGGGAGGAGACAGTCGATGTTTTTTTTAATTTTCGATCGGGAATTTGGGCTGCGTCCCGATTTAGGGTTCGGTCCTTTGCCGAGGGCCCAGATGCACGGCCCTCGGCAAAGATTTTATATTTTTATTTTTAAAATTCTTTGCCGAGGGCCACGGGGAAGGCCCTCGGCAAAGAGCCCTCAACAATTTTTTAGTGTTCGGTCCTTTGCCGAGGGCCCAGATCCACGGCCCTCGGCAAAGATTTTTTATTTTATTTTTAAAATTCTTTGCCGAGGGCCACAAGTGAAGGCCCTCGGCAAAAAGAGCCTCAAACAATTTTTTTTGGTTTTTAGCCCATTTTTTTTTTGTGGTGCTACAATACATTGTTTTGAACTCAATTTTAAAATTGAGCCAATTTTGATTTTGTTTTGTATATTTCCTTAATTTATTTCGATTCTTTGATTTTTTTTGAATATGTCAAATTTGAGCTATGGTGCATGGAATATTGCAATGTAGTGTTTCAAAAAATGTTATTCATGTTAATTGGTGCATGTTGGGTCCCTATCCACGAGCTCGCATCAAATTTTCACGCATCAAATTTTCACGCATCAAATTTGATGCGAGCTCGTGGATAGGGACTCAACATGCACCAATTAACATGAATAACATTTTTCGAAACACTACATTGCAATATTCCATGCACCTGCAGTTCAAATTTGACATATTCAAAAAAAATCAAAGAATCGAAATAAATTAAGGAAATATACAAAACAAAATCAAAATTGGCCTGAATTTTAAAATTGAGTTCAAAACAATGTATTGTAGCACCACAAAAAAACTGGGCTAAAAAAACCAAAAAAAAATTGCCGAGGGCTCTTTGCCGAGGGCCTGACCTGTGGCCCTCGGCAAAGAATTTTAAAAATAAAAATAAAAAAACTTTGCCGAAGGCCTATCCTGGCCCTCGGCAAAGGTCTTCTTTGCCGAGGGCCTAGCCTCGGGCCCTCGGCAAAGCCGATTTATAAAAAAAAAAAAATTTGGCGAAAAACCGGTTTTAAAAATCTTTGCCGAGGGGCACAGTGCCGGGGCCCTCGGCAAAGACTTAAAAAAAATTTGCCGAACCTTTGCCGAGGGCCTAACGGGTGGCCCTCGGCAAAGTTTGATGGGAAATGGCCGCCGTGACCCAACGGGCCTACTTTGCCGAGGGCATCTTTGCCGAGGGTCGAGGCCCTCGGCAAAGATTTGATTTGCCGTGGGCCTGTCTTTGCCGAGGGTCGTACCCTCGGCAAAGGCCTCTTTGCCGAGGGCCGTTCTTTGCCGAGGGCTCCTGTGTCTGGCCCTCGGCAAAGAGTCTCTTTGCCGAGTGCCCGATATTTGGCCCTCGGCAAAGCCTCAGGCCCTCGGCAAAGTATGCGCGTTCAGTAGTGCCTGATGGTTGTTGACTGACACAGAATGGTTGAACCTTTCCTGTCGGTGTTGTAACTGACAGGGAAAGTTTGAACCTTCCCTTATGGTGCTGTAACTGACGGGGAAACTCTCTCCTGACGGATAAGGAAAAACCGATGGGGAAACTCTTTCCTGACGGTAGCAACCGTCAGGAATCATTCCGTGATGGTTTTCCATCAGGGAAAGTAGGCTTTCCCTGTCGGTCTATCCCTGACGGCAGCCGTCACGGATGATCATCCCTGACGGTTTTTGACAGTTCTCCTGACGGAACAGGCCGTCACGAAAAAACTTGGCTAGGGTAGTGGCTAGCTGTGGATCGGATGATGGGTTATTTGACCTAGTCATATATAATTAAGTATATGCACTCATGTTTGCAGCATCATACTTACATGCATGTCAGCATTATTGTGTGTGTGGAAGGAATGTTGTGTGATCAGGAATCCGGACACATAGTCATATACCACATTCTCAAGGCCGAGACAATTATTAGTTATGCAACAGTGGCTAGTGTAAAAATATGACTGCAACGACTGCGGCAAAACAACTAATAAACAAGTTACTGCCCCTAATCTGGTTTTGGCAGATAGCAAGAGTACGTATCACACCGTGTTTAACACTTTAACGTACGTAACCATCCTGCTTTAATTTGCATTTCTCTGTCAGCTAGATTTTTACGCATGGTGACATCAAATCATTCATTCACGCGTGGACGACGCGTGCGTGCAAAACAGAAAAGTGTACTAGCTGGTATCTTACAAGACAGTTACTTTTTTTTTAGGCATCGTCGTCACCTGTCACTGTCGTCTCAAACTGTTACTAGATGACAGATGCAAGGTGGTTGATCACATGTATGGTAACTATATACTGCATGCCCCTATGAAAACAAATATAGGTCGTCGTTTAATTAATTATTATCAGGACACATCGGCATGGGGAGAGAATAACCTTCGCTTGCATGCCCTTTGTATATATCTATATATTCGTAGTAACAACGATCTTTACATATATACCAAACTTTTTATATTTGATTGTATTGTCAAAGCTAAACATGCATGTTTGATTGGCAAGAATTTGGAGAGGACTTATAGTTAGTAATGGAGAAAGTAGTATATACAGTGTTAATTCTGAATGATATATATGATTACAACAGGTAACAATAACATGTATATACTGAGATATGTAAAAACAACAACAAAAAGGTTCCAAACTTTCAGCTCCCCAGCAACAGAAACTGATCCACAAATACATATATGTACATTAGTCACAGCACCTCAACCACATCCTAATGATGAATCCAGCAAATTTAAATCGAACACTACACAAATTGACAGCACTACTGATATGTAGATTAACTACACGTACGAGTGCAGCACACATGCACAAGCAGTCAAGCACAAACAGAATTGATCTGCGCAGAGAGAGATCACGAACGAATAATAAAATCAGATGACGAGATCGAAGCTGCATGGTCATTAGCAACGTAACGCAAGGGAGCAGCTAGCTAGCTAGCTAGCTTGCAGCACTGATATATCCATATATATACTTTCACATCTGCAGCAGGCTGTTGTAGCTGTTGTAGGTGTAGTGCTCGTCGAGTCCTAGGTCCATGAGCACGCCGCTGCCACACTGGTCGCCGCCGTCTCTTGACCCCGGCGCCGCCGCGGCAGCAGCCGGCCCAGCAAGGACGACGCTGTCGTGAAGGTGAGGCTGCACGACGTGGGGGTCGAACATGCCGTTGTGCTGCTGCAGCAGCGCCAAGCCGGGGAAGTCGTTGAGGGAGCCGCCGCCAGCGGCCATGCCGTGGTGGTCTGCCAGCGGTGTCAGATGGTGGTGGAAGTGGCTGCCGCCGAGCGCGGGGAACGGAGGAGGCGAGTAGCTGCTCGGGTCAGCACCGTCGCTGCCGCCGCCGCGAGGCATATGCATGCCGACGTCTTGCTCGGTATCGGCCATGGCGTAGTCCATGGCGTCGGCCTTCTTCTTGTAGAAAACCCTGCACAGAACCCAGTCCTCCTTGGGCGGGGTGTGGGGATTCTCCATCCGGAATTCATGCATTACCCAGCTGGTCTTGATGCCGTTGGGGGCGCGGCCGCGGTAGAAGACGAGGGTCTTGCGCATGCCGACGATGGCGCGGTGGTGGCCGGCGGTGGCCCTGGGGTTGTAGATGACGCGGTCCTTGCCGGTGGCCTTCCAGTAGCCGGATTTGGTGGCGCGGTTGGTGCGCAGCCCCGTCGCGTACTTGCGGTCGCGGAAGCTGAAGAAGTACCACTCGTTCGTGCTCAGCTTCGCAACGTCTGCAATATAATTGCATGGATTCATCAGTAAAAACAACTTCAAATTCAAATATATAGAGCAATTTATCGGTTGTGAACTTAACTTAAGAGGGGCTGGAAATTAATTTGTAATTTTGATGAGATGCAAACCAAATTAGAGAGGGGTGAAGTATATTGAAAGGGGGAAAATGCTGATAGGGATTAGAAGCAGCAGCCGTTTCTTCCTAGCTTCTCTTTTCCTCAAAGCTAAGAAACAATCACACACATGACAATTTTAGCATTCCGTGTTGATTTACCCTCGAATTGAACACGTGGATCCAATAACTGAATCCAATAGTAGTCGTATTATGCTATTGGGCCCCCTCTGGATTATCGAAGTTGAAACTAGCTAGGATGAAGACTTATATTAGAAGTAAGAAACACTGTTGGGATGAGATTAACGTAAGCTAACTGCTACGTACGTCTGTCTCAGAGACGATCATAAATATGCGTGAAGAATTGATATGATCATGCATGAGCAGCATCTTCTTCCAATAACTAATAAACAAACAAGAACAAAACAAACATGTATATATATGGCTGAACCAATAAACCGAGGTTGCGTGCGTAACTACTCATTCCATGACACGGAATCGAGTTAAAATTAGCCAACCCAGCAGAAGGCAGCAGCAGCTTGCTTGCTAGAGAGGGAGAGGGAGAGAGGGACTAACTAAATTAACCAATAAATTACCAAGTACGTACCAGGGAGCTCCCACGGCTCGTGGGTGTGCAGATCCACCTCCACCATGGCGGCGCCGGCGCCGGCGAGCCGCTCGTTGGCCACCTTGCCGTGCAGGTAGTGGCACACCAGCTCCTCGTCGCTGGGGTAGAACCGGAACCCCGGCGGCAGCGTCAGCTCGATGTCCCTCAGCCCCATGGCTATCTACCTAGCTCCTGCTCCAGCTACCACTACTCTACCTTATTTCCTGTCTACCTATATATATCTTCAATTCGTTCTCGTCCTAGCTAACTTGTCTATATCTGCACAGTAATCTTTATGTATGGAGCTGGAAGAACGACGAACTATATGGATGAGACAAATGAACCTATATATGCAGGCTGCAGCACGTCGATCTGAAGAGAAGAGGAGAGTGATGAGAGAGAGGGGACAGATGAGGAGTAAGAAAGAATTGGCTGCACTGCACACATCTACTACTGCTATGGTTGCTTGCTTGATGTAGCCGGATGAGTTTGTGTGGCCTTCTGGCTGGTAGGAAGGATGGGAGTATATATAGCTTGGTGCCGGGACTATTTAATCATTATATGTTGCTAGCTATTAGATATAGAGAGAGGAAGAGAAAGAAATAAACAAGAAGTGTAGGGAAGCAAGCAACATCAAAGGGCCGGACGACGGAGATCGGAGGGTGGTACTGGTACTGGTCTAGTACTACAGGGCCGGGCCGGGCCAGGGGCCGAGATTGAGGACGGAGAAGAGAGGAGGCCGGGCGTGAAGCTAGCGATCAATAGCTTGGTACCTATGGCTACCCGCTAGCTAGCTCGATCGGCCGACGGACGCCGTCGGTGTGATCTCTCGGATCGAGTGATCGACCGATGTGTACGTACGATGCAGGATGAGAAGCGAATAAGGGAGAAGACGACGCCGCCGGGGTCGACGGCGAGAGCTACATGGTTCCATCATATCGGTCTACAGCTATATACGGCGGAGAGGGAGGAGAGAGATCAGACGCGCGCACTGTTGTTCCTTGATTGACGTCGCTGTCGCCGCGCGCCGGACGCAGGGGGCGGCGGGGCCGGAGGTGGGGAGGGAGAGGAGAAGAGGGGAGGGGACGCGTGCGTGCGTGCGCGCCTGTCGCATTCGCCGATGGGATGCTTGCGCAGCAAGAACTCGAGCGACAGCCGATAGGTGGGCGGGGAAGGAGGAGGAAGAAGTGGTGGAGCTCTAGAAGAGAAGGGACCGATCGAGGAGAGGAGAGGAGACCCAGGCTCGCAAGAAACTTGTTGTTGGCTGGAGAAAGAGAAACTAGCTGCCGCCCCCAGTCCCCCACCACTTGATGTGCACGCACGATGATAGATAGGATGTGCAGCCAACGGCAGCATATATTGCACTGTCACTAGAGAACACATTTGGCATACATGGTTGCTGATCCTCCCCATCTGGCTACTCTCAATCTCCCATCATGCAAACAGGGTTGCTAATCCTCAAGGGCATATCGCTACTACAAAATTGATTTTTACTAACAGAAACTTTTTTTTTATAGAGGCGGTTCAATCTTCAGACGCCTCTACAGTGACATGTGAACACAACCATCTCTAGAAATGTATTTATAGAGATAGCTCTATTTTTTGCCGTCTCTACAATTTTTTTTTAAAGGTGGCTCTCTAAAAACCGATGTATAGAGATGGCTCTATTTTCAACCGCCTCTAGAACTCGCTATTTCCAGCCGTTTCTAGAAAGAGAGCCGTCTCTAAAAATATGAGTTGCACAGTAAAAAAAATTAAACGACCTTGGATAGAGAAATGATAAAGCAAAATTTATAGATCTCGAAGAGTTATGCAACTTTGTAGTTGATAATTTTTCATCTAAAATTATCTATGCGAGAAAAATTACATTTGAAATTCTCACATTTAAAATTCCAAATTTTTAAACGACCTCGGATGGAGAAACGACCATGGATGGAGAAACAACCAAAACCAAAGTTATTGATCTCGAAAAGTTATGGAGCTTTGTAGTTGACAACTTTTTTATTTAAATTCGTTTAGGATCCCATATACTCATTTCAAAATTGGATGAAGATAAAATGAGGAGGAGAGATATCCCAATTTGACACAAATGTCTTTATAGGTGGAGTGGTTAAGGGAGGAACACGTGAGGCCTGAGTTTGTGGGTTTAAGCCCCCACGACTGAGAAGCATGCAAAAAGTTGTGACTTTGTGACTTACTGGTGGGGTCTCTTTGAGATTTTTTTGCTATTTTTTGTCTAAATTTGTGATTTCTGGGCAATGATTTGTAGAGGTGGCTTGAAATATAGCCGCATCTATAAATCGATTTATAGAGGTGACTCGTGTTCCCAGCCAACCCTAGAGATCTGATTTCTAGAGGCGACCAGGCCGCAACCTCTATAGAGACATCCCAGCTGCCTCTACAAAGCTTTTCTATAGTAGCATATATGGCCCAAATACATCGTTGTTAGATATACATGGGGGTATGTGTACATTATGTGTGTATATCTAACAGTGAATGCACATAGAGGCATATGCCCTGCAACGTACGATCGGAGTTGGATGATGCTCTAGCTGGCTTCCTATCAGTTAAATACTTAAATCTGCTTAGCAGTAAGTGTGCTTGTTAGATTCACTCGGAGAGATACTATGGAACTAAACTAAGGGGCTATTTGGTACAACTCAACTTCACTACTAAATCTGCCTTTGTTGGTTGTAGCTCTAAAAGCAGTTTTACCAGTAGAACTGAATCAGTTTTATAAATGTTTAGTAAAATAGCTTCTCAGGGAAAATAACAGAGAGAAAGTTAGGAGAAGCTAGTATTTTCAGCTCCATCCAACTTCACCTAGAGAACTGTGAATGCGAGAGGAGCTAAAAATCAGCTTCTAGTGAGAAGTTGTTTCATACAAACCTGTTTGGTATTAGGAGAAGCTGAAAACAGATTTGTGAAGCTGGGAGAGAAGCTATACTAAATGATACACCCTAAAATGCTGGCAACACAAATTAAATTATGGTAATTATGCAAAGCAAACAAAAATATCAAGATGCGGTTGAAGTTACTTATTTTGGGAGGATAGATTTAAATCACACGGTATTACAGTTAGACGGTCAATTACTAGAAGTGTAACTTAAGCAAAGCATCTTTGTACTAGATTATATATATTTCTGAGTATTAATAAAAGATATGATGAGGTCCAGCTGCTGGTCACTGTCATTTCTACTCGCGTGTGTTTGGATATTCGTCTAGCTCCCCGTCTGTGATCCTCTCTCCACGTACATATCTATACTCTTGTTCTTTTCAAGATAGCCTGACTGACTGAATATACCGGAATTAAAGATCTACGGACTTGGCGTCTACCGATTGTACTGCGGTTTTGGACGCATGTTCAAACGGGCGATGAAAAGGATAGGAAAGACAAATTAAATAAATAAAACAATCCTAGCTACCAGGAGGAATTTTCTTCTACTTCAAAGAGTATATATGGGAAACGATCGATCGATCGAGAAGATGATTAATTGGAATGTATAACCTCTAAGAGGGCGCATGAACAAAGGAACCTAGCTAGCTTGTTGCAAGTAGCAATATGCGTGCTGTCAGCAGCAGCAGCAATAATTCAGAATGTAGTACGTACTACCGATGGAGATATCCTCTTGGCTAGCTCTTGCTCCATAAGCTAATGTGTAATTGCAATTTGAAAATTTCAAATTCAACAAAAATCTGATAAAGTTTGCACTGGCGATCCCCTAATAACAGAAAGTTCGCATTTCTCTCGCCGGCGTGTTAGCACATGTGTGTTCTTGGTTCTTCCTGCTAGTGGATCCATCACGCCGGCCAGCAGTTGGATTAATTGCACGCGGAATTGAAGTGCCATCATCAATGCAGCGGGTACGGTGCAGTACAAATAAAGGATCGGAGAGGATTTAGGGCAGCTTGCTTTGCCGTTGCATGTTGCTATCCCACAACAGTGGCACCCGACATATCCGTCAGAATACAAGGAAGTGCGATCAGGTACAGTACGTGTCCCAGTGATCAGTGTTCATCATAGTACGACCCGAGTACATGCATACATACAGCCAGACGTACATATATGTGGTTGTTGGAGCTTAACATCGTCCGATCCCCTCGAGAAAGTTTAATTAACTTGCAGTACTCGCTCAATTCCGGCCATCTATCTGTGCAGATAAATATCCAATTCCGGCAGCAAGGGAAAGAATTCAGTTGAAGCTACCTACCTGCAAGTTGATATATACACATATACATATGCATGTACTGGCCATCCAAGTACAAATCAAGCAGGAGTATCGGAATTAAGTAGGCAAGGGTCGGTGATGCAAGTTGGTAGGGTACTGCATTAGGATATTAATCAGCATAATAAATAAACATGCATATCCTGTTCAAGTTACGGTTGTTAGTTAAAGCTCGCTAGTTGCAAGCAGTAGTATATACTGTTACATAATCTACTGCTATGAACACAGTAAGGGGAAGACGCCGCCGAAAAGGCCCCCTGCTGTGATATAGTAGTCGCTGTAGGTGCAGGTGTCGAACTGCTCACCTGCAACACTGTAGGCACATGCAGTGGCCGGCGCAGAGTCAGCCCTGTATGTTATCTAGTCACTATTGCAGCAGGACAGCTGTACTGGGACTAGATGGATAGAGTTGTATAAATAGACTACCACGGCAACTCAGTAAAGAGAGTTCAGATTTGCCATCTCTCAGACAGGGCTTCGACCAACGCTAGTGTCTTGTACTGTGTGTGTGCATGCTCTGTTCTCCCTTCTTCTTCCAGCTCTAGCCATAGTGTGTGAGGACGGACAACGCTTGTTCGTGGTCAGCACGGCTAGTGGGAGCTCGGCAACACTAGCGGGTGCTCGGCAAGACTGGTGAGTGGTTCACTCACCTGAGCCGGTGATCCTGTAGTCCAAAAAGTGGTATCGGAGCCGTACAAGCGCCGTCGCCAGACTAACCGCTGGCGATGACGGCTGGTTCAGAGATGAGCGACAGCAGTGGCACTGTTGTGGCTGCCCAGCCACAACCGGAGGTCGTTGTTCGCACGGTGCAGGAGGTCAGCGGCACCAGTTGGCCGACGCTGACTCGCACCAACTATGGAGAGTGGTCGGTAACCATGAAGGTCAATCTCAGAGCCCGACGGCTCTGGAATGCTATTGACAAGGGCACCGACAATGAGGAGGATGACAT